AGTTTCGTTGTTGCAAATATTACACGTATTGTCCATTGAATGATTCATAGAACTTGCAAAAATGGGATTGCTTCTCGAAAAGAATGTAGAAGTGTTACATTTGAGAAAATTTACAATAATATAATAAAAAAGTTTTGCATCCATGCTTTGTTTGAATATCTCCCGTAAAATAGAGAAAAAATGGAGCACAAAAGATACTAAATTTTTTTAAGAAATATATCCGGAAAGAAAAAAATTATATAGGGCTTAGCCAAATTCAAATAGTTTCCCTGTATTGGCATAGTTTACAAAATTATTGCATATCTTCGAAATAAGAGAAAAGTGGGATTATAAAATTTTGGATTATCGACTAAACTTCTTACAAAGATGGTGGAAAAAATTAGTTAGGTGGCAAGGAATGAGAGAGAATCAAACGGACTGCTTTCAGAGGATGGTAGTCCAATTGTAGGTCAGGCGGTGATTATCAAACAATAGTGATTTGGCTATGATAGTCGAACAATAGTCAAACGATAATGATTGGACAACGGTGGTTGGATAACAAAAATTGGGCAATAATAGTCTCACGATAATCAGAAAGATATAGTTAATGGCGGAAATCAATGTTGAATGTTGGATAAGCTTTAGAGTTCTTCAAACTCCAAACTCTCTCTAAAATTGAAGATTAGGTCCTCCTTCATGTAGAGAGTAGAGGTATATTTATATACTTAGAGAGTTGTGTTCCTAGTAAATATCTATAGATTACAAAACATTCCATTGAACACCCATATTGATTTTCTTGTTCGTAAGATAACTTTTGACGACCATTTAAGCGCCTTATTGATGTTAAAATAGTGATCTTAGGCTCGTTGGAGTGATCTTATCTCTTGATTCAACAATAAATTTGGTGAAAGTGAAGATTATTTGATCTTGAATTTGATTCTAGAAGTTATCTTACTCGAAATGCATTGAGATATGTGCCTGATAATGTAATATTTTTTGTTACATATCCCTACTTAAATATATCAAGCTATTATCAAGCAATAATATACCATACATCACAAAATCTAGTGATGAATTCCAAAAAAAGGGGAATCGAATGACAGCACTAACCTCATAACTTACAAAAATCTTAACCCTCCAAGTGTTAACACCATATTTTAAAAATACTTAACACTCAAAATTTTAGATTTACATATTTCACATCTACACTTTAAATTTTATATCCATGGCAGCCAAAACATCTAAATAAAAACAAAAATAGCACCCTTCCCCGCGTTTAAAATCCTTAACCTCGTCGTCTCACCTGCCATCTATCATTGTATTGAGTTCTCTTCTTCTATCGATCTGCCCTCCAGTTTACATTACATTATCAAAAGATAGCTCATTGCTTCCAACCCTGTTTGCCGTAATAGTTTTAAGTGCTCTTTTTTTGGTGTTCAAGAAAATGAGATAAATTGTAGAGGTGGCAGAAGAGTATGAAACAAAATATGCCCACAGAGATTCACATGCAGAGATGTGCATAAAGCGACAGAAGGTTTAAATGATAAGAAGTTTTTAGGAAATGAGAGATTTAATAAAGTATGCAAAAGCATGTTCCCAAAATCAAAACAACAGATTGTAGTAAAAGTGTTATATCCCAATTTATCCACATACCTCAAGGAAAGGGTTTTGGAAGGAGAGAGTGTCATCAAGTTCAGAAGAGGAATCATTATTTTTATTATGAGAGAAAAAAATTATTTCAAATAATGTGTCTAGAGATCGCTCAATTATTGCATTAATTCTCCACTATTTATAAAGGGTTCTCATTTATTATACAAAAAAGACTCATTATTTGCATATTTCTAAGGATCTCCGATTTATCCATTTTTGTTCTCTTTTGATTTTGACATCATAATTAATATTATCTCTAGCAGCAATATATCTTGGCAAATGTTAACTATCACCCATCGAGTCACGTCCTTATCGGCCTACTCAGTCTTTGCAGTATTCGGTCCCCTTATCGACATTACAGCGGGTTATTCTCCTCAACTAAGCCAATCCCTTAGAAAATAAGGTAAATTCGGTCCCCTTGACGAATGGTAAGTAGATCACAATAGGTGAACTGGTAACTCGTACAAGGCTACTCGTACGGAAACTCATTAGCTCTGTAAGATAGTTGAACTAGTGAATTCAATAGTCTGCCTCGACACACCATTCGACTCTTGAACTTGAGTTCGATAAGGTGGCATTCATATATACAAAAGGAATCTCCCTAGCTTTGAAACAAGGGACGAAAAAATAAGTCATAAGTATAACAAGCATCAGCCGACTCTGCTAGGATTTCATGCCCAACATCAGCATCAATGAGTACCTTCTCAATCATGTCGCACATTCTCTCACATTGAATCAAAGATTAAAATTCAAAAAAGGCATTCAACAGTGCTTCTTTATGCACACCTGGGATGAAAAAACTCACACGAGCCACCGTGAGAGCTTGGCTAGCATGAGCACAGGCTAGGTCTTCCTCTTCTATCGCCTCAAAACGGGTCACTGGGCTAACAGAGTGTTAGATGGAATAAAATTTTAGGGGTTGTCTGGCAACGGATTTAGCTCGGGATTTATGCGAGAGATAGCCTAAATCTTGTCGGACGGTCATTTTGGACAAAATGAAGCCACGAATTTGATAAATCCGAATTTAGCATATTTCAACTGTAAATCCGGGTAAATCCGGGATTTACTAAATTCCGCAGATTGGCGGATTTACGGGATTTACAGCTATGGAAGGTAAGAGTGCGGGTGAGAACAATGCTACAGGTTAAATCTTTGCCAAACACTTTTATTAGATTTTCAGGATTTAAGTTGCCAAACAATTTTCTGGACAGGATTTGTAGTTCAATCTGAATTTGAGTTTAGATTTAATCTGAATTTGAGTTTACACCAAATTCTTCTGCATTAGAGAGCTATATTTGTAGTTCAATCTGAATTTGAGTTTACACCAAAATATATTTATGAATAGAAAATGAAATTAAATCAAAGTTTACCGTTGAGTATAGATTGAATATGAGTGTGAGATCATTTCTGATGTTTGCAACTAAATTATAATTTGAATGTATTCTTTATTTTAGATATAAGAGAATGGAGGACATCTAGGAGAAAGTGTGTTGACAGCTCTAAGTATCCATGATTTATTCATACTACTTATTTTATATTTTGGTTTTCCTGTTGGAGCAATTACGTATGTATCACCCAATTCCTATGTATTTACATGTTAAGATATTAGTTATTTTAAGTTTTAGAAAATGAAATACACCTATTTTTGTATAGATAATGTGGCATGTAAATATATAACCTAAAGTTTGACATTTGCATCAGATTTGTGTTGGAAGGTAAATGCTCCTTTTTATAAACTTTGAAAAGCTTACTTGTTTGTCTTAGCACTTCAGGTTTAATCTGCATATGCCTGCATTTGGTGTGCTAATATTGGTGTGCTAATACTGGTAGCCCCATTGCAAGTTTTGATGTTGTTGGAAGCCGCAGGGTTAATAGAAAGATTCAGGCATGGTTAAGCCAGCAGGAAGCTCCAGAAGCAAATAGTGGGGAAAGTGAAAGCTTGAGAATTTTGAAAAGCTTAATGGTGGCTCCATATTCTTTTCCATTAGCTGTAGTTGATGAACGCAGCATTATATATGTTGTTGATGTAAATGATCATATCTCAGGACATTTGCCAAACAAAATTATTTCTCCATCTCAGCATTCTGATCTTGGCATGTTGGCTTGTTGGAATGTTAGTTTACTAGTTAATTGTTTCTAAAATGCTAACGATGTGGTAGAATAGACAAACATGCCACAAGCATGGCTGGGTTATCTATTGCTTATTTTTTACTCCATAGAATAACTGCTATAAGAGATAAAATGTGGAAGCCACAACAAATTAGGTGATAATACTTTTTTATATTAGATTTTGCTTTTGATAGAAATGTTGTTGATGAACAACCATAAAGCTGACTTTTTTTTTAATTCTAATATTTCAATTGTAATATTTATTACATGTATTGCTGCACTAACATTACTGAATAGAATAGACGATGGGGTGCTGCAATTACTGAACCAAACTTGCTTAATAGGATAAGCCTTGAAATCGTTAGAGGAGTTGAAGGATAACATCCTTGGAGTTTTTTGTATGAGGGCATATATTTGGTGTTAGATATGAAAACACATTCGATTTAATTTTAGCAGTATAAATGTAAAAAAAAAATGTTTAGGTGTTAGTTATGCAAACACATTCGATTTAATTCTATTAATTTAATTTATTAATAATTAATGATTAATTTATATATGTTCAAACAAATCATAATTAGATAAAATTATATATTATTATTTAATGATTAATTAATTATTTTATAAGCATATTTTTAAATTTTAAATTATTTGATAAACATATAAGTTTTGTAAATTAATAAAACTAAAAACTAATTAATTTTTACATATAAGTTTTGTAAATTAATAAAACTAATTAATTTTTAATTAATGTTAATTTATTGTTTCAGAAAATAATTTTTTTAATATAAAAAAAGTATTTTATGTTCTGTTATATGCATAAATACTACACAGGGAGAGGATGGTCATTTTTCCAGAAACAATTACCCTTCAGTTGATTTCACACTGCTGCAACAAATAGACAGTCAGCTTCCCCGCAGCAGCTTCCTCAAGCAGGAGCGCAGCCCGGCGCACACTCCCCCAGACAAGTTTCTGGACAGAATTTAGTAAATCCTAATAACTTAAATCTAATCCATTGCCAGACAAGTTTCTGGACAGAATTTAGTAAATCCTAATAACTTAAATCTAATCCGTTGCAAGACAGCCTTAAAGTTTGGGTGTAAAATATGTAACACCTAAATTTTGTAAAATTTAATGAGTGCGTGTGAAAGATGTGAAATTTAAATTTTCTGGTATTATGTATATAAATCCCCCCTAGCACTAGTAATAATAAAGGAAACTTTAATCGCAAAACACAAACAGAAATTAATAATCTCAACACTGACCTGGGTCTCGGAATAAGCTGATGCTTTCATATTACCCTCGCTAGATTTAACCTCTGTAGAATGATTCTGGGGGGGACAAACAACAAAAAATCATCAAAAACAGAAGTTAAGAGCAAGTAGAGACCAAAATCCATGATACAAACCTTTGGATTTGAAGGATATATAAAATTCGTGTGAAGATCATCAGACTTCCCTTCAGAGGCATCAAAATTCGTGATTGGAAGAGCAGAGCGAGGGGTAACAGTGTCTTCTGCTAAAGAATTGGCTGAGTAGGGTAGCAAGGAAGAACTTCTATTCCCCGAAAATGTGAGAGGGGAGCTGTGGACGGAGAAATTGGCTAGGGCGACGGTGGATGAAGACCGAGTCGAGGAAGAAGAGAGATAAAAAGGGAGAGTGATAGTTAGGATGCCAGTGATGGCCACGGTAAGGAAAGAGATTACGAGAATCTTCCGTCTCAATCCACAGATGGAACGATCACGACGTAGACGGCGGCCAGCGGCAGCTCTTAAGTCTAACGCTGCTAACTGGAGAAACGCCGCCATAGACAGCGATGAACAGAAACCTGGAGTAGTGGGCGGGTGGGCGGCGGTGTTCAGCGGTAGACTCTCCACGGTAGAGGAAGCTGGCTATTCACTCCACGTTGTTTCGGCCTTCTAATCAAGTAGATTTAGCTTTAGGAGGTTTTAGGTTCTATTTTGGGCTGCTTTTCTTCTGCGGAGCGGTTCGAACTACACCATGGGCGTTCTGTTTCCTCCCATTTCTTTCTTCTCTTCCATAGGTGGCATCTAATCTGCTCATGTTTTCATCTCCCTCACTTCGGTGATAAGTTTGCAGCTCTTCTCCATGACTACAATTACTGGATTCTAAGGATTTCTTTCTGAGCTCTTCGTTTTCTTTTGCATCTACTTTTTGAGGGTTTGGGCTTGGATTTCGAGCGTGATTCATATGATTTTTCTATTTCATTTGAGGTTATGATTGGCGTTATTCCAGAAAGTTGCTGCGAGGAAGCTGATGTGAGAAAGTTGACTGCATGTTTGGTACAGCTGTGTAAAAACAGTTGTGAGTCAGCTGTTTCTGGAGAAATAACTATACTATCTCTGTTTGTTAAAACTGTTTAAAAGTATGTTGTACAATTATATTTTTTAAACTTCCAAAGCAGAAATTCATTTCTAAACAGAATAAAAAGTTCATCTACATATAATCATGGTTTCTTAACACATATTATGTGGATTGTTCCCTTGAAGAATGCATCCATCCAATGCATTTGCAAAATTATGTTTCAATGGTGCATTTACATACCTAGCACACAATTCTTGTGCATTTACATACATACCACACAATTCATTTGCAGAACTGTGTTTCTATCAGAATATATATACTTTGTTGCAATTCTCTTGTGATCATTTACCAGAAGACAGGATTTATGATCAAGCTAGGAAACAAAGAAGGTGAGAGCTATCTCAATTCCGAAGTAAATTTTTCATGTTGGAAATGTAAATACATAGAAATTGGCTGGTATGTATTTAAATGTCACTAGAAAAAAACAGCACATAATCATTACAACAAATGTATATCTCAAGTTACCAATTGCTCAAACAATAAATATATAAAAAAAAAAGCCAATTAAAAGGCAAAACATAGTAAATCCTTATGCAATCCACTCGGTTTTTGGGTCTTACATAAATAACTATCAAAGTTTACAATGTGAGATACATAAATACATAAAAATTATGTAATGAATATTTAAACCCTCCTATATGTCGAAAACTATCCAATTTTACCCTCCTATAACTACCACAGCGAAAAAAAGAGCTAACCTACACAGATAATTTAATCAATACAGTGTTGTATAATTCAAGTTATGTTTATCAAAAAGGGCCTAATTAAAGACAAAAATTACAAAATCTTGAGGCTAATTCACTTGAGTAAAACAAAGAGAGCAAGAGAAATAACTCCAAATTACCTCTACTGAATCTTCTCTTTTCTGTTCGCTTTGAATAGATCAAAGCCAAGAAAAACTTTAAGCAGATTCATTCCAGCCATTCCAAACAGCGCAAGGGGAAGCTCGATTCCTTCACCGAACTTCGATGCATCGACGATGAGCTTACAGGTGATGAGAATGTGGCAGACGATCCTTGCGGCGAAGAAGCTCGCCTAGTATTGGGGATATCCCATGCATGCCCTTCTTCGCTCGCAGAGGCAGCACAACTCCATCTATAATTCATCCTGCAGAACACAAACAGGAATGGGTTAATTGATTCGATTCTTAAGATAATTTTAGAAATAAGAAAACTGATTAAAAAATTTGACACAAATTGAGCAACAACGATGAGATCGCAGGAATCGCAGGAATCGCAGGAATCACAGGAATTGGGAGCTTTCGGTGTTGAAACGAAGGAGGAGAACGACGAACCAAGATGCAGGAATCAGGATCGCAGAACAGCATCGTAGTTGAACGAAAGGAAGGCGGAACGAGGGTACCTGGGTAAAATGTGGGAGTGAAACGGGGCCGCGGGAGCGAAGCGAAGCAGCGGGGTTGATCCCGCAACCGGCTTTTCGCTCAGATTCACGGCCGCCGCAGATGAAAAGCCGCACCAAACGACCCTTTTCTGCGGCCTCCCGCCACACCGCGCAGAAAAAGGCCCGCCAAACAGACCCCGATGTGTGATTCGATGAAAAGAAGAATGTGAAAGGATTTGGTTGTTGGTGATTTCTAATTTTTTATGTTCTTTTTTTACATTGCTCTATTATTTGTTCAATGTTAATGTAAAATTTGATTTTTTAAATAATTTTTTCTTCAATAATATTTGCGGTTTCATTTCAATAACCCCGAAATAACATCTGCGATGTAGCACACGTGGCGACATATTATTGAAGTCTGCACGTAAAACTATATCCGGAGTCCAGAAGAAAAATTTTTCCAAGATAGAGACTTTTTTGCCCAACGGTCACCAGCTGAACAATCATGCAAAAATCTGAAATATGCAAATTAAAGCATCTGAATTAGTTGTTTTTACTTACAAGTAAAGAACATGGATAAAATCAAGTTTTAACTATCTTATACGTAGAATATTATGCTAAGTATTAAAGTGAATTCATGCATCCTTTGCGGAGTGCATGTCATTCAAGTAAATTGTTACTGTCAGAGTACTCTAGGTTATGTATCTCGTGCTATTCTTTGGTGTCACATGGGTACATATAGCTGGAATTTTCTTCCCTTTTTTGTCTTTCATTCTGATTAATATTAGACATGCATTTCTTTCGGTGAATTATAATTGATGGTTTGTCATTTCCAAACCACCCAATTCTTACGTATTTAGATTTCTAACACCTAAACTTTACTTTTTACATTAATAACCCCCAATTCATTAATATTACATAAACAATACCATTATCTTTACTTTTAAAAAGTGAAATACACCTTCTTAGGCATCTATAAAGCGACACATACGTAAAAATTGAAGTTTAGGTGTTAGATATGTAAATCCATAGGAGTTGAATGGTATGTATGTACATCAACCATGTTTCCATCTGCAAGCTTCCATATATCGACTGGATAAGATCTCATAAATCACACTTAGACGTAAAAATAGATTCTTAAATGAAGGCTACCATTTCTCTTCGTGATTTCTTCATTTGGAAAATTTGGTATGTGATAAGAGTTTTTCTAACTTTGGTATGTACATCTTTAATTAATGCATTCTTAAGAAAGTTTGAGAAAAAATCTCTCTTATCAAATTCATAGAGCATAATGTAAACTCCTTGATAAAACAAATGGCTTTTACTATAATATGAAACCCACATTACTAGAAGGACTCCTATGAATTACACATTCCTTTCAAAAAAAAAAAAACAATATCATGACATTATTAATCATGAAGGGCTTCTTGTAAGTCTCTCATAGGCAAATTATAGTGAGTTGCCATCAAATACAACTTTTAATCTTATAGGTTTTTGCATGGAACTGCTTAAAATAAATCTAAAAAGGTGGCAAAACCTATGCAATTTATTGATGCATAAAGAATTAAAGGTGTAAGTAAGTACTATGCTTGATAACACATCAAATGCATAAACACCAGATAGTTGTCCAGGTGATCTTTTAGAATACAAATCAATATTAAATAAGTTTAATGCCTTAACAAGAGATTCACATTGAGATAAGTGGTGAAAGAAACTTTTACAAGCAATTCAAACCTCATGTAGGGACTTGGCTCAACAACCTACTGATCAAAATGCAGTCGGCAACGAGGATGAGTTTGCATATGTAATAAAATCGTGCTAAAATCCTACATTTTAAAGAACAATAGCCAAGAATTCCCTTCTATCGTGATAAATATGTTCAGACTTGTATCTGATGTAGGGACCAAGTTATAAATAGAAGAAATCTAGGGATTTATTTGTAACTTTTGTAAGGCTCCATAAAATCCCAAGGCATTAATCAACTGAGTATGTTTCTCAGACCAATTAAATATTTATGATATTAGAGGCCTAGCCGCCTCTCCTCCTTGGTGGATCAATCGGGATCGATGCAGAGAGACCCGAAAATCCCACCTCTCCTCGATCAAACCAGTAGGGATCAGTGCAGAGAGCACAAAACTTCTATATCTCTCTTCCTTCAGTTGTGGTCCTCGCAAAGTATCAACAAATCACACGATTCGATCGGGATTAACGTACACAGACGTAGATCGGCATGAAGAGACTCGAAACCGTCATTTGTTAGCTTGCTCTCTTAAGGCAGTTTTGGCTAGAGCTAACAGAGGCTTTAATTCAGTGAGAGGGCTTATGGAATTGTGACACAGGGCTGTTGGGGTATTGTGCACAACAGGGAGTGAGGAAGGCAGCGGAGTAGGGCTTCATTTCTAGAGTTGTACTCGATGATAGGGAGGCAAAGGATTGAAGTGGTTGTGGATTTGTGTGAGAGACAAAGGGGTTGTGACTTTACGGGCTAAGACAAAGAGGATCACACAAACTTGCAAAAAGAAGATCTAGATTTACATTACTGTGGTTGAATATGACAGGGGATGAAGATAATACGGGGTAAAGGATTAAAACCTTTGGGAAAGATAGATCCTTAAATTCTGAAGGTAATGGTCGGGCTTGAGCTCATACAGGGAGCTAACATTTCTATAGAAGCCACTACCTCAGCAAGTGCTCTGACGATGTGAAACTAGACTTCCTCCTATAGATCTACAGCTATCAGGATTGACCACTTATCTGAGTTGGCATGTAGGATCGAGGCTGCTCTAGGAGGGAAGAGACTGGAAGAATGCCTGAATGAGGTCAAGCCAAAGATTGTTAGTGCTAAGGGAGATAGGTGGAGGATCACACATGCATTGGTTTACACCTGACTCCATTGATTGTCACATCAGTGGATGACGTTTGAAAGTTGAAGGGAGCCTATGCTAGGACCAAGAATAATATGAGGGTGTTCCCTATTAAGTGTGACATAGAGGCAATGATATAGGGTGATAGATCAATCCAGGAATACTCCATAGAGTTAGAACTACTATGGCAAGATCTTTATCACTTTTCACCTATGTCGAGCTGTGGTGATCCAGGATGCAAGAAAGGGGATATCTTTGCAAATTTGAGGACTATATAGTTCTAGCTCATCTGAACCCCACCTTTTATTAGAGGAGATTAGTACTCCAAGACCATGCAGCGATTCCTTCACTAGACGAGGTCATCACTGCAATGTTGTAGGAGGAGAGTCGCATGAGGCTACACTATGAGCCGAGTGGACTTCCAAGTACATGATCAGCTTTGACTGTCTTGAACTCAAGTAGGAAAGGTGTCCAAGGGGAGATCTACGTGTGATACAACTATAGAGAAGTGAGACACCTAAGTAAGACTTGTCTAAAGCCACCAAGGAGAGAGACGGGTGTACTTAGACAATCTAGAGACTATGATCCTAATCATGGGGTCAAAATAGGTGGAAGAGGAGGCCACCAAACGAATCTAATGATAGTAGA